ATAAGGCATTTCGCGTGAAGAATTGAATTTTATCTGCAGGTCCTTCAGTTCTTCTTTCTCTTTCCACAATTTCACGTGAAGTTGGTGGTGTGTGTGGCCTTGCAAATATTGCATACGTTTTATCTCAACTTGAGGCTTAATTTTTCTTCTGATTAAGGTACATTCTCTTGATTAATTTTTTTTTTTAATTTTGATATGTATTTTGCTAAATGATGGATAAGAATTTTATATTTAGTCATTTTTACATGTTGAGTTTGTTTTAATTAAAAAAATGTAGGCATATAATTAATTGTCATATAAAATAAATTACAGTTTACTTTTTTATAATCTGATTAAATATATATATTTTTTTTTAGTAGATAGTGTTTGAGTAAATATGTAGTCAAATTAAATATGTATTTAGTTAGATAATATTTGGTTGTGAGCATGGTAATCAAACTTCTCCTATGCCAGTCAATACGTCATGAAAAATACTTGAATATTTAAAGAAAAATTGATGGAATAATATTCCCCACTCATAAAATTTTAATATACAATGATAAAATCATTTTTGTTAAAATTACGTAAAATTTATATCAAAGCATGCGTAGAAGACAGTTAAATTATTTAACTATAAAAACCTTTAAAATATTGAAAATCCAAATCAGTGGTCCAAGTTATAATTTTTATTAAATTTATAATTATTTTATTATTTGATTATGCATAGTGACTTCATGTATGAATTTCATAAATTCGAGTTTACATACCTGTCACGAGTTTACTTAAACTCGTGAGTTTGACAACCCTGGTTGTGAGCTTAGTCTAGTCTTGTATCTAGCCAATGAAAGCTAGCACTAAATGGTGTCAAAATTTTCCTAATAAAAAGAGTACTGATGGTGGGGTTAATAATAATGAAAGAAAGGAGTTTTTTTTTTTTTTTGGAAAAATTAGAGAGGAGGACCTAGAGAAAGCAATATTTATTAAAGAGGATCTTAAAAATTATAATTATTTAGGCAGACCAAATAATAAACTATAAATTTAAAAAAATCACTCAACAGTAATAGCTAATTGTTTCGTCATATTAAGTAATTATAATTTTTAAATAACTAGTGTGAAATAGTTATTAACATTTATTTTTGTTTTCAATCATAAGGATGTTTTTTTGGGGTCACTTAAACGGTACCTAATATAAAATTACACAAGTACATTTATTATAAGCTTATTATTATTTAATGTAAATTTACCTTTATGTGTTAACTAAAGTATATATCTCATCAAAAGCATTTATTCGCAATATAGAAATTAGAGGTTGAAAGGAATATAATTATTCTTTAATAATATAGATAAATTAAAATTGAACATTTGAAGTATGAAGTTGGGACCAGGAGAAAAATGAAGCAGAGGCAATTTTTTTGAATAAGAAATATTTTCAAATTAATTTATTTAATCAAATATTTATCTAATTTAGTCATTAAAAATATCCAATAATGGAACATAAGTTAGAAAAAATTTAGGAATGTAGTTGTGGGAGAATTTAATGTTTTTAAATATATTTAATCCTTCTAAATATTTATAGTTTTTAAGATCCTTTTTGATAATAAAACAGAAGTAATGATTTTAGCTAATTTTTTAATAATATTTAATTATAATATTTTTTTTGAATAAAATGGAATGAATAGAAAATTATTTATTTAATATATTTGAAATATGTAATTTATATTATTAATTTTATATTGATATATTAGAATTTATAATAAAATTTTAATATGTAACGTTTATTTTTAATTGAAATTAATTTTTAAGTTATTCTAAATATTTTTTATGATTGATGTTCCACAGTCGTTGTTGATTAAAAGATATTACAGGTTACTATCTTACTTAAAAATGTAAATAAGTTTCTTAATAAATAGCCTAATTTTTGTAACTATAAATAAATGATTATTCTACTACTTTATTTTAAAAAATATATACATAATTGAATTAAAAAATAATGATATTATGGAGTTAATTTAGTTTTACAATTCATTTTTGTTTAATTAATAATTATACTGTATTATTTAGGAAGCAGAATGGATCATAGAAAAGAGTTTGTGTGTATATTTGCCAATGGACGAATTTTTAATGGCCCGGTCGGTGCAACATTTGAGTGTGATAGAGCAAAAGTAGTGAAAGTTGATCCAAATATTACATTGGATAGATTGAAGGAAGTTATTGGACGAAAACTACAACTTCCTCCCAATGAAATTGTGACAAATCTAGTGTACAGATATCCTACGTGCATAAATCCACCACAATATCAAGCATGCAATCTAGAAGATGATTCGGATGTACAACAAATGTGGCAAGTGAACCGTCGATTCTCAACTCAGTTAACATGTGCAGAGTTGTATGCCAATATAGGTGACTTGGAAGATGTTGGTCATATTGAATCACAACTAATGGACAAAAATGCTGGAAATACTCTTCCATCAAGTAGCAATCAGTTGAACATTATAGAAGAAGAATCCATGTTTAGCGATCAGATGGAAAATCTTCACCCATTTGAACTTCCCCAAGATGGTATCAACAATGGGCCATCTTGCTCTGTTCCTCAAATGGAAGATACTATGGATGAATTTGAGGACGAAGATCAATATGATTCTTATTTAAATATTGGTGATGGGAATGATCATGATGACAATGATGAGCATGACGAGATCAACCAGGATAATGAGCTAGCATCTGCTTTCTTCTCGCATATTAATGTTGAGTCAGCTATGGCTCCTGAGTTCAGTGAATTAGAAGAAATTCCACCTTTCAGTCAAAATGAAGAGTTACATATCGGAAAGATGTTTAGCAATGTTCGTGTTTTGAGACGTGCGGTCAAGTTATACTCTGTTCGAGTTCATCACACATTCAAGGTCTATTATTCATGTAACAAGTATGAAGAATATCGATGCATTAACTATGGTGAAAGCTGCAATTGGAGAGTAAGAGCTTGTAAGAAGGAAAACAGAAACTTTTGGCAAATTACAAAATATGGGGGGGCCCACACGTGCTTAAGCACATCACTAACTCAAGACCATCCAAAGTTAGATGCTGATGTTATATCATCTTGTATCATAGCAATGGTAACTGATAAGCCAAATGTGAAAGTATCTCAAATTATAGAGAGGATGCAATCCATGTTTGGTTATATAGTGTCATATAAGAAGGCTTGGAATGCAAAACAATTAGCCATTGCCGTTGCTTTCGGGAATTGGGAGATCTCATATTCCTTACTCCCAAGGTGGTTGGTCGCAGTACAACACTTCATGCCTGGATCATACGTACAATTTTCAAATAAACAGTGCTCTCAAGTCAATGAGAATGGGGAACCAGTTGAAATGTTTCGCCGTGTGTTTTGGGCATTCAAGCCATGCATTGATGCCTTTCCACATTTGAAGCCCATTATACAAGTTGATGGAACATTTTTATATGGAAAGTATAAGGGCACGTTACTGATGGCTATATCACAAGATGGTGATAGAAATGTTGTGCCGCTTGCATTTGCGGTAGTTGAAGGGGAGACAAGATCAGCTTGGACATGGTTCTTATACCATGTGCGTCATTGTATTGTAAAAGATAGAATAGAAATTTGTTTAATTTCAGACAGACATCGTTCAATTTTGGCTGCAGTTTCTGATCCTCAACATGGATGGCAGCCACCACATGCACATCATGTTTTTTGTCTACGTCATGTGGCCTCTAATCTTCACAAAGCACATGGAACAAATTGGCTAAAAGAGAAATTTATAAATATTGGTGAGATTTCTTGTGTTTTTTAATGATACAATAACTTTATAATTTTATGATTATTTTTAACAAGTTAATAATTACTTGTAGGGTATGCGTATGAACGTCATGTTGTTGACCAACAATTAGCAGAGATAGTATTGCAACATGCATCTGCTGCTAGATGGATTGGAGCCATCCCCAAAGAAAAATGGTCACGTGCATATGACGTTGAAGGTCGACGTTATGGACACATGACAACTAACCTTGCAGAGTGCATGAATGGTGTATTCAAAGGTGTTCGAAGTCTACCCATAACTGGTTTAGTTAAAGCGACCATGTATAGAGTTAACAACTATTTTGTAAAGCGTGCCCAACAAGTTCATGCGCAAATTGCAGCTGGTCAAGTGTTTTCTGAGACACTAACAAAGAAGTTAGACATAGTAACACAAGGTGCATCTGGATGTGTTGTTCGAGAGTTTGATAGAATATCAACATCATTTGAGGTTATGGAGCCATACAATATTCAACTTCGTCAATTTCGTCGTTGTTGCAAGGTTAACTTGATTGATAGAAAATGTGATTGTGGAGAATTTCAAGCAGAAAAGTTTCCATGTATGCATGCTGTTGCAGCTTGCTCACAAGTAGGCATTAACCATTTGCAATATGTTGATCCTGTTTTTAGGTTAGAAACCATGCAAATGGCTTACAGTAACAACTTTCATCCAATAGGAGATGAGACTTACTGGCCGCAAATTGATTGCCCTACTCTAATACCTGATCCATCAATGATTAGAGATAAAGGCCGTCCTCGTTCAAGTCGCATACGTAATGAGATGGATTGGACCACACCTAACCCACCCAACAAATGTGGATTATGTAGACAAATTGGTCATAATCGCTCTACTTGTCCTCAAAGTGTGGCATCCAGACAATAAATTATGTATTTTGCTTATGTAAAAAGAAAATTATACATATGAAGATGAAATGTAAATGGTTTTTGTAATTTTTTATATTATGTGAATATTTATTTGTTATGTTGTGTTTAGATATTTGAAAATGGCACAATATCCAGAAGAAGTCATTAACCCTGGTCCAGAGGATAACTCATTTCTGTACTTACAAACTCAACATATTTCGCAACAAGTTTGGAATGAAAATGTAAGTAATCTCTCTTAACTACTACTTATTAATTCTATGCTTTAATACTAACTTTTTTTAAAAAATTTTCTCTATCAGTTTCTCGAATCCTACACACTAGACGAGTCATGCATGCTAATCGAATGATTGAGCCACCTAATCAGATACTTGAATATCTTAGATTAGCTGGATTTTATGGTGTTGTGAGGGTAGGGCAATTTGATTACGACCGGAGTTTGGTCTCAGTCCTTGTTGAGAGGTGGCGTCCTGAGACTCACACATTTCATACTACACGTGGAGAGTGCACGATAACATTAGAGGATGTTGCTATACAGTTAGGCCTTCCTTGTGTAAGAATGCCTGTCATTGGGAAAACTGACTTTAATTGGCAAGATGTTTGTGAATGGCTTCTAGGGGTTAGACCACCTGCAGATAGAATACTTGGACAACGACTACTTATGAATTGGTTGGAAGAGCACTTTAATCACTTACCTGATGATGCAGACGATGTACAAGTTCAACAATTCACTCGTGCATATATTCTCAGGTTGATTGGAGGATATCTCATGCCAGATAGATCATGTACTAGGGTGTATTTGATGTACCTTCCACTACTTTATAATCTGGAAGAAGTTGGAAATTTTAGTTGGGGTTCAGCAGTTTTAGCTCACCTGTATAGAGAATTATGTAATGCTACTAATCCAACTGAAGATGGGATTGGAGGGTGCTTATCATTATTACATTTATGGGCATGGGATCGTTTTCCTACGCTAGCACCACAACAACCTGTATCTCCAGATCCACAGTCTAATATCTACCCTCTCTTACCTCCTTTGGGTTTCAGGTATGCCAAAATCACACAACAAATATTTCATATGTACTTATTATTGAAATTTTACAAATTTTAACACTACTTTTTGGGTTGTTGATAATGCTAGATGGAAAAATGTAGGACAAAATCCTCGTCCAAGTGTCACATCCTTACGCCAATATAGGAGTCTTCTTGATAGAATGACCGATGATGACATAATTTGGCAGCCATATGAATCTTCTGAAGTGCGCCAATTGATTCCAGAATACTGCTTGGCAACACCTGAAATTTGGCTTGCTTCAGTTCCTCTAATATGTTTTCATATTATAGAATGGCATCACCCTGATCGTGTACTAAGGCAATTCGGTCGTCAACAACCTATTCCTGTCATGCCTGTTCATTTAGGAAATTACCATACAATACAACTACGTGGCAGAATAAGCACAAATTGGACTGAAGAATACTCAAACTTCATTGAAGCATGGAATAGATGGCCACATGCTGTTGTTGATGCTCCTCTGGCACTTGGTGAACTTGATCGAACATCTGAGTACATGCAATGGTATTGGAGACATACAAGACGATGGATCCAACGTGTTAGTGGTGATACTGGCTATGTGGTAAGGTTTTTTTTAGTTTTTTCTGATCAATATCATCATTTTCTTTTATACGAAAATTTTTTTCAAACCTAATGTTTTATTTATTTCAGGCTGACATAGCAGAACAGTTATATAGGCTAACAATTAATTCTCGTTCAACATGCTCTGATTGCATTGATTATCGAGAAAGAGTTGCTCGAGACTAGCGTAACATCTTACTTGCAGTTAGAGAACAACGGTTCAATATGAATTCTCAACCAGCTCCACCACCAGTTGAGCTACCCCGTCCACAAATTCCTCGAGATAGACCAAGCAAACGGCGAGGCGGTTACTTGTCTACTCAGCCACCAATTGTAAATGAAAATTTAAGTGAACAAGAGCCTTAAAATTTTAGTCATTTTGATAACATACCAGTCTCATCAAGCCCTATCACCTCTTCCAATCCAACTCATTTTTACCCTCATCACATGCCATCATCATCAACATTATCCCATTCTGACTCACCCAATCCTCCTCAATTTCAGTCATTCATGTCCTTATTTGATGATCCTGCATTATTTATCGATCAATATAACACTTCTTCTTTTGAGCAAGGTGGTCCATCAAATGAAGCATTTGTCACCCCTCGACAATCAATTTCTTTAGCCGAATCACCTTGGTTTGATTTAAATACGTCAACTACGTAGACAAATGAGACATTAGATCAAACTCAAGAAGTAAATATACAACAACGGCCACAGCGTGCGCGGAGGAGACCAAGATGTGGCACGGGGAGTCATTATTTGTGAGGTAAATTAATTCTTATTTTTGTTCATGTCAATTTAATTGTTATTTGTTATTAATTTTATAACATTTAATCATTACTTATTTTCTTTAATCACTTTTTAATTAATATAATATTAATTATTACTATTATCATTATATAATTATTAACTCATTATTCTAATGATATGACCATTATTAACATCCTTGTAGGAATATTTATGTGGTGAGAGATTGTGAAGAAGTTGTTCAGATGCTAGTGAAATTTAAAAGTTGTTCACACCAAGATGAATTTCAGCTAGACGGAAGACAAGGTTTATTGGAGGAATTGCTCTTACTGAGATGAATTTTAAACGTTGTTCAAGCCAAGATGAAGTTCAGCTGCATGGGAACCAATGTTTATTGAAGAAATTGCTCTTATTAAGATGAACTTTTAAAGTTGTTTAAGCTAAGAACAACTTTGAGTGTAGTATTTGGGGAAATAATTCCCACTATGTAGTATTTGAAGAATTTTTTTTCCCTGTTTGCAGCGTTTTGCTAAAAATTCCCTAAGTAATACAAAGCTGGGTCTGATTGCAAAGCCCAAAACATGCAAAACAAAAGCCCCTTTCACTCCATTAAGTGAGGAGAAGGCTTATGATGAGTGGGAATACATTATTAGCTTTCGACTAGAAACTAAGGATCAAATAAAATGTGAATCTGACAGATTTTTTTCTAAAAATTCTTGGAGGAGATTATCATATTTCTACAATTCAATTATATGTGAAATCTAGAAATTTCCTCAATATACTATTTATTTTTAATAAATCTATATTAATATCTAATTAATATTAATTAAATAGAATTAATTAAATATAAATAATATTAAATAAATAATAATAATATTCTATTTAGAATTTTAGAATTTTAGTTATAATTTTGGAATAATTAAATAAAAAGAATGCCGAATGCCTTATATAAGTAAAATTCATACTATACACTCACATGCAAAAATAAAGTACTCACGCATGAGAGACAAGGAATGACTACTCTATATTGATGGGAATATTTGGGGAAGGAAGGAACACTTTGCGTGGGGCTGGAAAAGGCAGAAATAGTCTGGTCAAAATATGAAAGCTGAAAACGCATGGAGTGTATGACAAATAGTGGGTCCCACTGAAGTTGTTCAGACCAAGAACAACTTCCATTTTGTGATGTGGGTCCCACTGAAGTTGTTCAGACCAAGAACAACTTTTATATTTTGGATGTGGGTCCCACTGAAGTCGTTTTTAGCCTAAACAACTTCTGTACAAATTTAAACTCGTTCACTGTCTGAACGATTTCAAGTGTAGTATCTGAGTAAATATTTTTGATCTTATAACATCTGAGTAAATATTTTTACTGTTTGTCGTGTCTGGATAAAAAAGCCGTTTATTTCAGTTTGGAGACATTGCGTCTGTTTGCCTGAGGGATTGGAGGGGATAAAAGTAGCTTTTAGTGAGCAAAAGTTGGATTGAATTATATTATCATGTTTAGCATTATTTTTTGCTATAAGTCGTTTTGCCTAAAAAAAAACTACTTCAGTCATAAGTTAATTTTTATGACTTATGCCTTATTTTGTTTATGCAAAAGTAACTTTTAAAGTTATTTTTTATGGCTTATACCTTATCTTGTTTATACAAAAGTAACTTTTAAAAATTAAAAGCTATTTTTACCCTTATATTTATGTTGTCCCATTCTTCTCTTTTGCATATTCCTTGTGTTTTCCCGAACAATTTTTACTTATTTATTTTTAATGCTCTTTTAAATTAAAAATAATTAACAAAAAATTTTATAATATTTTTAATATTATTTTTTATTTGATATCTGCATAAATTGCATAGAATATATCCTCCAATTAATTATGTCATATTATTTGGTTAAAAAATTTTCACACTTCTATTATTTGTCTAATGTAAATATATTTTATTTATTAAATATAACTTCTTCCTATTATAATAATTTAAAATTATTATATTTTGTAAATTCATGTTTTTAATCATTTTTACTCCTCCGGTCCTTAATATAGGACCCAATTATTGAGTTGGGTTTGGTCCTAAATATGAGACCCATTTCTCATATTTATCAATTTTCTCTAAACTACCCCTATGGATACTCCCTCAACCATAATCAAATAGAAGAGTGAGATGAGGTATTAAGAAAGATGATTATGGTGTTTTAGGAAAAATGTGTCACTTTTCTTATAATTAACCAACTTACCTAACTTCCTTAATCTAATCAAATTAGTTAAATGGATCTTATATTAAGGACCGGAGGAGTATTATTTAATAAAAGTCATACTCATTTGATTATTCTACAAACTAAACTTGTTTATCCAATTATAATTTAAACAATTTTTCTACTTTACAAATTAACTTTTATAAAAGTCAATTCAATATAAATCAAATTACCCAATCTACATTTTACCCAATCTAACTTTTAAAATAAGTTACTTTTTTTGCTGTCATTCCAAACATACCCATTAAGAGTCTCCTTAGATTGGCAGTAAAAAAGTAGCTTATTTCTAATCTGACTTTTAGAAAAGTAAGATTAGATAAAAATTAAATTGAGTAAAGTGAGTTGTATTTGGATTGAAGTTTAAAAAAGTTGGTTTGTAAAAGTTAGATTAGTAAAAGGTTGTTTGGATTATGATTGAATAAAAGTAAGTTTATTTGTAAAATTACCAAAATAGGTATGAACTTTAATAAATAATGAAACATGAAAAAAAAATTTACATAATACAATGAATTTAAATTAATTTAATATGAAGAAGTGAAACTTAATGAGTGAATCAAATTTAAAAACTTTAGAGAAATCATAAAAAAATGTTATAAATATAAAGTGAAATATGATAAAAAAATAACGAGGAGGAGGAATGAAGAAATGGGAATGGGAGAATTATGCGAGAATAATGAGGAGAAGTGAGGAATTAACAACCAATTTGACATATTAGTTAATTCTCTAACGGTCCATAAGCTCAGTTTCAGTTTGAATAAGCTTCTCAGATTAGCTTATCCAAAATGTACATCTATATCTGCCTTTTGGTCCCATATCAGATCCCTCAACGTAACAGGTCTCTTAAATAGCCCATGATTTTCCAATCAAGGTTAATGTAAAAATAAGTTACTTTTGGGCCAAAAAAGGCTAACCCAAACAAGCACTATATATCTTGTATGAATTAATGGGTGACCGTACTGATCATCAAGTGACAAGTCGACCCTTCTCTTATCAATCCACTGTAAGTTAACTAGGGGTGTTGAAGGCCGGCCTGTTCCGGTAGGCCCGTTCTGGTCCCGGTATTATTGGGACAGGACAGATCCGTCCTGAAATTTTTCGGGACGGGACGGGACATGGGATGGGGTCGTCCCGTCCCGGTTCCTTTTTTTTTTAATTTTTTATCCTATTTACATAATCTCATTTTTCTCATATTTTTTTAAGATTTGAGACTATTGTATGAAACTATAGATATATTTATTTAAATTTTTTATATTTGTTAATGATTTGAGATTATTAATTATTAGAATTTTTAGCAAGTTTCTATTGTGTTAAAAGCTTTTGTTTATAGTTTTTAATGATTATTATATGTAATATTTTAAGCTTTTGTTTAAGAGTGTCCAAACAAATAAAAAAAATAAAAAGATGTTTTTATAAGGTTTAAGCCCAAAAAAATATAATTAAAAAAATCAGATTTTATTAAAAAATTTAAAAAATTTAAAAAAATTAAATAAAAAAAAAAGGTTCGGGACGTCCCAGTCCCGTCTCGACCGGGACAACCTCAGGACGGGTCGAGACACGGGACAGAAAATCTGTCATGTTACTGCTCATCGGGACGGAACCGGGACGGGCCTGTCCCGGTCCTGATCCGTCCCGTGAACCACATGCAGGGAGGTCATCCAGTGATGCCGTCGAAGGCATGCACAAAATGGTCCGTTTGCTTATAGGAATAGTGTTATAATAAGAAAACACAAAATACTAGCATTGAAAAAATGACCACATATGTCTATCAATTAGTATGTTACATACTAGACTCTATCGCATGTCGTGCAACATTACGTAACACTTACATTGTGTGTGTGAGTGTGTGTCTCTCACACCGGATGATGATGGTGTTGGTGTGATCAATCTGATACAAGAGAGAGCCCTATTACTCGAATAACATCAGTGAGAGACACAAGCCCCACTAGCAAACCATCCTGATCCACCGCCCACACCCTGTGCACGTGCTTACCCACTGCCTTCTCTATCACCTCAGACAATGGCGACTCAGCTTGACACGTCACCAGCTCCCTCTTCCACGTGGCAGCAGCGTTGTTGTTGGGCGAGTAGAGTGGGTTCGTCCCAACCTCCTCAGTGAAAGCACGCGCACTCATACCCAACCACGACTTCAATGTCACCACGTAACATCCTCTCAAATCAGTCGCAAAAA